CAATCGACTACTTATAAAGAAGTATCGAAGGGCTTATTTTATACGGCTTCATGGGTGGATAAGAATTTCGTTACATTTCAGCACTAAATATAAGTGTGATCAATTGTAATTGAAATTACTTGTTTGACTAGTGTAGTTAGTGACAAGTATGCTTTGAAAAACTTTTAATGTAACAAAGGTAAAAAATGATACTCACATGGAAATCATAATAAAGAAAATTCAGCTGGATCCTGTTGGGAAACAAATGTCGTGGGTCTCGAACATTTGATCAAGATCACTCAAAACAAAAGAATATAATTTGGAGTATCGAAAAAATTGGTACTGAAACAAGTGTCTCGTTAAAATCCGGAACAAAGTTCCCCATCAATTCCTTAAAAATTTTGATAAATTGGGTTTCACTTTCATCACGGTTTCATGAATCCAACTTTGTCATTCTTTCAAAATTAGTCCTGGAACAAAACTTGATTATATCATCCCCAAACCTGTTAAAATTCTAACGAATGATTTTTCATCCAATATTTTTGTAAAGATATCAACAAGTTGATCAGTACTCTTTAAAAAATGTACTTCGACATTTCCATCTTCCACATGATCTTTTATGAAATGATAACAAAGTGCAATGCGTTTTGTTTTCGAATGTTGTACTGGACTATGACAAATGCGTATAGCACTTTGTGAATCATAATACAATGGAATCTTTTTCATATTTATCTCATAATCACGCAATTGACTTTTGATCCATATGATTTAAGAAGTGCAAGCAGCAGCTGCAACATATTCAGCTTCAATAGTGGAAATTGCAACACATGTTTGCTTTTTCGATTGCCAACTTACAAGCTTCCCATCTAAGAATTGACATCCCCCACTTGTACTTTTTCTATCAAGACTACAACCTCCCAAATCTGCATCTGAGAATGCTTGAATGAAAAAGCCTAATTTCGAAGGATACCACAATCCTAATGAAATTGTTCCTTTGAGATATCGAAAGATATTTTTCACAGCACTTAAGTGAGGTTCTTTGGGATTTGCTTGATACCTTGCACAATTACAAACAGAAAACATGATTTCCGGTCGACTAGCAGTGAGATAAAGCAACAAACCTATCATGTTCCTATATAAAGTAAGATCAGCAACAGGTTTATCTACCGAAGGTGTTAGCCTTGTTCCAACCGCGATTGGCACTCTTAGCTTTATGCTATTCGTCAATCCAAACTTTTCAAGCAAATTCTTGGTATATTTTTCTTGATTTATGAATATGCCCTCTCTGCTTTGACGAATATTTAACCCCAGAAAATTGTTAATTTTTCCCATCATACTCATCTCGAACTGACTTTTCATCAAATTTATGAATTCTCTTGACAAAGCAGGGTCAGTAGAACCAAAAATAATATCATCGACATAAATTTGAACAAGCATTAGATGATTCCCAAATTTCTTTCGTAATAACGTGGGGTCAATTGATCCTTGCTTAAATTTCAATTGTTTTAAGAAATTGGTAAAAGTTGCATACCAGGCTCTTGGTGCTTGTTTTAACTCATAAACAGCTTTATCTAAGATATAAACATGATCATGGAATGCTTCATTTATAAAACCTGGAGGTTGTTCAACGTAAACTATTTCTTCAAATTCACCGTTAAGAAATGCACATTTGACATCCATTTGATATTCATCGAAATCTTTATGAGCTGCATAGGCTAAAAATATTTGAATAGCCTTGAGTCTTGCGATAGGAGCAAAGGTTTCTTCGTAGCCGATACCTTCTTGTTGCGAATAACCTTTAACTACAAGCTTAGCTTTATTTCGAATAATATTGCCATCTTTGTCGGTTTTATTTTTGAAAATCCATTTTAATCCGACAATCGGAACATCTTTTGGTTTAGGAATTAATCTCCAAACCTTGTTTCTTTCGAATTCAGCCAATTCAGATCGCATAGCAATAACCCACTTAGAATGTTCCATAGCAACCATAATTGTCTTAGGCTCTATTTTCGAAATAAAAACATTAAACATGAAAAAATCTTGATGAGCATTAAGTACCTCATTCTTTCCATGAATTTGAGCTCTTGTGAACACTCCATCTTGTGTATTTCCAATAACTTGTTCTTTTGGATGATTTCTTGTCCATTTTTCCAGTGGTGGATATGTAGGATCAAAATCCAATGGTGCATCTTCAAACACTTCATCATTTTCTGATTGTATAACAGAAATATTATCATTCACTTCATGAAAATTATTATTTTGATCGAAATTTGTCATATTTAAATCATTATTCTCCCCCTCGAGATTATTATCAATCTACTACTCCCCCTCGAAAACACGATTTATACTGCTTTTCTCCCCCTCGAAAGGATGCTCCCCCTCAACATGAGAAGATGAATCCAAGTTCTCCTCCTCCACTTATGCATCTAGCATTCTTCGATACCAGTAGTAGTATCAGACGTTAATGTCGAATCATCAGAATGTTTCAAAGATTCAGGAATTTGATTATCTACGACATGAACTTCAGCATCAGCAGCTCTATCCGGAACACCAAAAATCAAATCATAATCAAAAAAATCAGATGAATTAAAACTTTCAGATTCATCATTTGATGCATTAATAATTGGCTTTTGATCAAAATGTTTTTCGACTCTTTTAACGAAATAATCATCAAATGTTAGATTAAACGTTTCTTCTACTTTTCTCGTTCGTTTATTCAACACTCTATAAGCAATCGAATTATGTGAATATCCCAAGAAAATTCCTTCATCATCCTTAGACTAAAATTTCAAAAGATTATCCTTAAGATTCATAATAAAAATCTGCAACCAAAAACATGAAAGAATTTGACATTAGGTTTTCGGTTATTGATAATTTCATATGGAGTTATGTTGAAACAACGGTGAATGAAATACTGATTTTTGAGTAAAACATGTTGTCGAAACTACTTCAGCCCAAAGATATTGAGAAAGATTCGCATATGTAGGCATTGTTCTTGCTGCTTCACAAAGAGAACGATTTCATCTTTCAACCACACCATTTTGTTGTTGTGTATATGGTGAAGAGAAATTATGAAAAATTCCTTTATCTGTTAAGAATGAATCAAGAACATTGTTCTTAAATTCAGAGTCATTATCACTTTTGATCTTTCGAACATTCTTCTTAAGCTTTTATCTATTTGCTTGATGAAATCAATCATTGTTTGGGCTACTTCAGATTTTAACCTAAGAAAATACACCCAAGTGAATCATGAAAAATCATCAACAATAACCAAAATGTACCGTTTCTTGTTAAGTGTTTCAACAGTTGATGGTCCACAAAGGTCAATGTGAAGAAGTTCCAACGGTTCAACAATGTTCGAATCTATGACAATTGGATGTCCTTGGCGATGTTGTTTTCCTTGTTCGTAAGCTGCACATAAAGTATCATTGTGAAACTTTAAAACAGCTAAGCCTCGAACAAGATCATTTACCAACAATTTATTCAAATTGCGAAAATTCAGATAACAAAGCCTTCGATGCAATAACCAATTAACATCAGTTGGAGCTTTCGAAAGTAAGCACACTGAAGGTTTCCCAACTATTGGTTTGATATCGAGAGTGAACATATCACCATGTCTTTTAGACTTTAATAAAACATCTTTTGTTTCAATATTTGAAATAATGCTTCCCTCTTCGTTAAACATCACTTGATTGCCAGTGCCCACAACAAGTTACGAAACACTTATCAAGTTATGTTGAAGACCTTTGACATAAGCAACACGATTGACTGTGAACTGTCTATTTGTTAATTATCATAACCTTTCACTTGACACTTGTGATTGTTTCCAAACTTTACTACTCCAGCATTTTCTAGGCTTCAAAAATCTCGTAAATTCTCATTCTTTCCAGTCATGTAACATGAACATCCACTATCAATGTACCATTTTTCGTCATATTGGTCGTCACACGTCACCTACAATTAATGAAAGAATTTAGGTACCCAAGGCTGTTTGGGTTCTTGGTGATTAGTTTGAAAAATTGAACGAAATGTAGAACCTAAAACCCAATTGCGAATTTTGGTTTTGAGACTATCAATTAAGTCAACATCATCAGTTAAAGTCATTGAAACATAATTTTTCGAAAGTTTTGGATTATTACGGACTTTCGCCTGTTTCTTCTCAGTTTGATTAGTTTTCGATATCAGTTGCCACTTTTTAACAGGAGTATTTGATTTTTTTGAAGATGAACTTCCCGATGAAGATTCATTTAAATATTGTTCATACACCTTCTTGATTTGATGTCGAGAGAATTTCCTGAGTGATATATTTTCTCTTTGCCTTCAAGCCAATGATACTTCGGAAAATTAAATAACCAAAAAAAATGTCTATCTTTTTTGTGATATGTATATTTATAATTAAATAACCTATCATGCATTTGTTTTTTATTTTAAATAACTTTTGAAAATTTCTTATAGCAATAGAAGCTAACACATTTTTATTCTTTGATTTTCTAATTTAGGTTTTATTAAATATAATAGTTATATAGAAATAAATAATAAATATACTAGTTAGAAAGTTATAAGATATATAAGTTTACCATGATACCATTTTTTCATATTACTTGTGCTTTTTTTCATTTAGTTACTATTTTTTTTCTTAATAATTCAATATATACGTACCAATAATTATTAGATAGATATTTTAAGTTTTTAAATTGATTGAAGAAAGTGGGGAACATTAAAAAAAGCTCGTGAAAAAAAGTGGGGAGGGTGGTGGGGTGGATGTCATTTCAAGTTGGGTTTGTTTAACCTAATCAAAGTTTTGACTTTTATAAAATGGTTTTCCGAGTAGTCAAATAATATTGTAATTATAAACTGAATCCTTTAATTCTAATATAAATAATAAAACACATTACCTGTTAAAAGTCAAATGATAACTTGTAATAAATACGTTTCACTTGGATCTATATGTCAGGTAAGTACAATCTTTTGGGTATTTATATTCTACTATAACCATACAGTGTCATCAATACCAAAAGACAATGTCTTCTTCACAAGTAAACCTTCAAAGTTGCCTAATTCCACTAGAGGAGATCATCCGGGCCACCGAAGATTTTAGTCCTGAAAGACTTATTGGAAGCGGTGGATTCGGTATGGTCTACAAAGGACAACTCTCTGAACTCTGGCAAAACCGAATAGTTGCTATCAAACGGCTAGACCTCGCCGGCAACCAAGGAGAGGCCGAGTTCATCAATGAACTTCAGTTGGTTTCAAGACTCCACCATGAGAACATCATATCTTTCGTTGGTTATTGTAACGATGGCAACGAGATGATTATAGTTCATGATTATGCTAGTAATGGAAGCCTTGATTATCATCTCCAAGACCCAAATAAGAGGCGTGGCATAAAATGGACACAACGTCTGAAAATCTGCTTAGGTGCAGCAAGAGGGCTCGATTACCTTCATTCGGGTCTTGAGGAGCCCAATAGAGTAATACATAGAGACGTGAAAAGTGCTAACATATTGTTAGATGAGAATTTTGTCGCCAAAATTTGTGATTTTGGTTTGTCAAAAGTGGGTCCTAGAAATCTGCCAAATACCCAACTCTATACAAAGGTTGCAGGTACACAATTTTACTTGGATCCCAGATACCGTGAAAGTGGCATCCTTACAAAAGAATCAGACGTATACTCGTTTGGGGTGGTCATGTTTGAAATGCTAAGTGGAATGTTGGTATATCTTCCAAGGAGCATTGGAGATGATAACGCAGAGTCGCTGATGAATTTCGTCCGTCGATACGAACAAAATGATGAAAACAAGTTAATTGATAACGACATTAGAGATAAGATTGATATTGGTTCTTTTAATACGTTTAAAGAAATTGCATATCGGTGTGTTAGTTTTAATTTCAAGGATCGCCCTATGATGGGCACGATTGTCGAAAAGATTGACGAAGCATTGAACATTCAAGTAAGTCTTTCATTTAATTATTTTTGGCACAATCCTTATATACCGCCTCTTGAAGGTCAACTAATTATAGCTAGTATACTATACATTTTGATTAAATATTTTGATTTATTTTGATAACTATGGTTTATTGCAGGAAAATGTTGATAATGTTGATGCCCTTATAGAGTGCGTTAGGGAAGATATCGGATTCAGACATGGCAAACCCGTTGCAGCCTTTACCATCTATAAATGCCTTATCCATTTGAAATATCTTGAAGCTGAAAGAACTTCCGTGTTTGATCGACTGCTTCATATTTTTAATTCAGCAATCGAGGTAATTCCTTCCTGCATATAGTAATAATTAAGTGCATGCACTATTTACATACAGACGGAGTTAATTAATTCATTAGGGCCCACCAAAACGTTGTGAAAGCATATATGCAAAGTGTTTTAGTTTGGACTCTTTTTGCATTTGTGTTTGGAGCGGATATACTTTCCGGGGTTAAAAGAGTAAATTTACAACAAAGTAAGGGTAAATTAGTAACTTAACTACTAGAAAACTGGTCAATTTCCGGCGGCCATATCCGTCGGAAATCCGTCACTAAAGCCAATTTCCGACAGCATACCGACATAATTAGGTCTGTCGCAAAAGCCCCATTGATAAATATTACCAACAGAATTTGTGATGGATTACCATCAGAAAGGAACGGCCTTTTGTTTAACTTCTTTGACCAAATTAACAACATAATAGGGATGGAGTATTGACCGACACATTAATGCGACGGAATACCAACGGACTCCTTTACTGACAGAATACCGACGGACACTTATAGTGACGGATTTCCGACAGACTGTTGTAGATTTTATTGTTGTAGATTTTAGTAGGGGTGACCATATTAACAACATAATAGGGACGGAGTACCGATGGACACATTAGTGACGCAATACCACGAAAAACACGACAAACACGAAAAACACGCTAAAGAACTGCTAAATCGTGTCAATTTTGAAGACGAACACAACACGACACGACATCGTATTTTTTACGGTTAAAATGAACACGACACGAACACAAATTTAAATTTCAGTTTCGTCCCAATTTCGTGTTGTGTCATGTATTTTTATCGTGTCCTGTCACTAATCCGTCATAAATTGATAAAAAAAAAAAAGTTTAAAAAAAATATGTATCCAATTTTTTCTGCCCAAAGTGCTAAAAAAATATTACATTTAAATACAAAAACATCAAAAAACTATTACTAAATCCAAAACCAAATATTAGTATTTAAAAACCAAAATTTCATAATCCAAAAATCAAATATTAGTCATTAAATACCAATATAACATAATCCAAAACTAAACAATTTAATCTAAATTTTATATACATATTTGATTTCAAAGTTAGTATAATTCTTGATTTCCTCATATGTTATGCTTTGAAACATGCATATTCTTGCAAATTTGAACACATTCATATTTAACGTACACTAAAAACACAATACGGATATAAAAAGTAAATTTTGTAAGTACAATGAGGGTTTTAAGCCACTTTTAGCAATATACTTACCTTAAAAAAACTGAAACATTAGACATTTAAATTTAAAATGGTTATTTACCTAAGTGCCTCTTTTAACAATTTACTTACAAAGTACAATGTTTTAATAAGAAACATAAAAGCACACCAGCACCCATATGTGTACAATGAAAACCAACAACCAAACCAAGACTAATTCATCCACATCTTTCTCCATACAATGCATAATTGCTGCAAAATAACAAATGTTTAATTAGATTTTGTAGTGAAAATCGAAAAAATATATTTATTATATACTTTAGCAAATAGCCATGATACATATATAAATAAGAATAAAATCAAAATTAGATGAAGAATTGACAGTTACATTTCATGGCATATATAAGCTTTGGTTATAGGCTTATAGCCTCTTTATGCATATCATGTTGTATTGAGTAGTTTATTTAGTCTTTTTATAATTGTTTCCTGATGTACTGAACCTGGTAAAGGAAATATCCAATAAGATATATGTTTTTCATGTATTTATAAATGGTCACTTTCTAAACCAACACCCAAGCTTTCAAGGACTAAACATCAGTGTACAAAATTTTAGCTGATGTACACATACGTACACTAGTGTATGACATTGATACCAACATTTCAATTTTAATTTTATAGTTTTCAACAACTAAACATCAGTTTTTTCACACTTTATTATACATCAATCAATTGATATTGATGTATTACGTACTTGTGAGAAAAATAAAGCGGAAAAACGATGTATTTTTATTATTATTATTGTTATTAATTGTTATTAATTATTGATTATTATTATTGTTGTTATATTATTATTGCTATTTTTTATTAATACTTGTTATTGTCATTATTATTATTATTATTATTATTATTATTATTATTATTATTATTATTATTTCTATTTATTATTATTATTATTATTATTATTATTATTTATTAATACCAATTGCTTCGGAAAATATTAATTATATTATTTCAATTAAAAAATAATTTTTTTTATTTAATTACTAATTCTAATAATAATAGAATTATTTTTAAAATAATAATAATAAAAAAGATTATTTATTTTACAAAAAATAGTTTTGTTGGTCATTTGTAATAATAATCATTAATAATAATAATAATAATAATAATAATAATAATTATTATTATTATTATAAAATTAATAAATTATAGTTAGATGAGTTGAATTATTTGGTTATTAATTATAATATTTTTAATATAAAAGTTAATGGTTATTTCAAATAATAATGTTACTAATAAGAATTAAGTTAGTTTTATAATAATACTATTAAAAAAATTATTATTTTCTTGAAAACATTTAGGTTGGTAATCTGCATATTTTTTATTAATTATAAATAATAACAAAAATACTTATATTATAATAAATACAAATTTGAACTATTTCGTAAATATATATATTATTTTAATATTTAATTACTAATGCTAATAATAATAATAGTAAAAGAACTTTTTTTATAATGTTATTAGTAGAAAATGTTAATTTAATTTCTAAAAAGGAATTTATGTTGGAAAATCCGTCATTAACTACCAGATAGCCCAAGTAGGGATGACCATTAGAACCGCGAGAACCGGAATCGGATCGGAACCGAACTGGAACCGGAACCGGAATTGGTAATAATGTCCGGTTACCGGTTCTTTATTTTTATGAAAACCGGTCCCGGTTCTAAAAACCGGAACCGGTTTAACATTTTTCTCGTTTTTTAAAATGCACATAACTAACTCATATTAAATCATAATTATTTGATTTTTTTCCAACATGTAATTTGGAGTTTCTAATTCATTTTTGACTATACAAATATATGTTTTGGTTTGATATTGTGTCGGATACATGCCCCGAAAGAAAGAATATTGATGTTGCGTTTTTTCTATTTCAATATTTTTTAGTTTTTTTGAATCCGTCCCATCTTTTTAAATGAGCATAACTCATTTATATGACGTCGGAATTACTTAATTTTTTTTCAAGCATGTAATTTGGTGTTTGTAGTTCATTTTAGACGATAAAAACACTTATTTGGTTAGATATTAAATCATTTATAGGCCCCGGAAGATAGCATATCAATGCTGCGTATTTTCTGTTTCAACATTTTTTTTGAATCTATCCGGCTTTTAAAATACGCATAACTTACTCATATGAAGTCGAAATTATTTGATTCTTTTTTCATTGTGTAATTTAGTGTTTTTACTTCAATTTAGAATGTAAAAAGTGTTAATTTGGGTAAGTATTGAATCACTTACAAGATCCGTAAGATAGCATATCATCTATAATATTTCAACCGGTTCTAATTTGAAAAATAACCGAAAAACCGCGACCGGAACCGAAACCAGGTGCTAGAACTGGCGGTCCGGTTCCCGGTTCTTATAATATAGGAAAACCGGTTTTGGTTCCTAACCGGTCCGGTTCTAAAGCTCATCCCTAAGCCCAAGTCACTGATTTCGCTTACATTCCGTTGGTAATTACTGACCGAAGTTATTATCGTCGCTATTGTGTAAGTATTTCGTTACAAAAATTAAGTGTTTTATATTTTTCACAATTCCGTCGGAATTCCGTCATTATTTTCCGTTCCGTCACTAATTTCCGTAGGAAATTCACCCAGTTTCTAGTAGTGTTTACTGTGAATATTGGTTAATTCAGTAGGTTATATTATTCGTTATGATCATGATAGTCAGTTGGTAGACTTGGTTCTCAGTGAATATATACAAATGTATCTCATTAGGAAGGAGGGAATCGTAGCGGGTTGGAGTGAGCGGGTTTAACCAGGCAGGAGGAGAGGGGCAGGCGGGAGGAGAGCAAGAGAGAAACAACGGTGTTGAGCGGTTTCTTGAAACCACCAGAGGGTTGAATCACAGAAGAAAAATAGGGAAGATAAGTTGGGAGGGCTGCGGTTTAGGTGGGTTCGGCTCCCTCCGCAAAGGGTTTGGGGGTAGCAGGAAGGATGGGGACGATTCCATCCTCCCTTAGTAGTTGCCAACTCTTACCATTCTTCCCCTATATGATTCGCTCAATTCCATTCGTTACTTTCAATTCATGAAACCATGTAACAACAGAAATTTCATCAAATGACTCAGCCTTATTTTATTTCCTTTTAGTATTCATTCCCGATATTTGCCATATATATTACATAAAGATGCAAAGTTAAAATATCAATTAATCTGACTGTTCCAATTGTAACAGCCGTTTGGAATCATATTACAGGATGAATATAATACGACTCACATGGCGTATTGGTTATCAAATACATCTACTTTGTTATTCTTGATCCAAAAAAGTCTAAAATTTGATAGTGCAAGTCCCCCAACATCGCAACTTCAAAGAGCCATGGTATTGTTTTTAATCATATTAATATCGGTTTTAACTTTTTTCAAATTATATACTTACGTTCCAGATTTTCTTGTTATATATTTAGGGATTTCCATCATCTGTGTCTGATCTTAATGAGATAGTACAACAAGTTGAAGCCAAACAACTAACTTTGCATTTCAAACGACAACTAACAGAATGTGCACAGAAAATGTATGGCATTATTCGTGACAAGTTGAAGCATGAGGTGGGATTACTACTTGACTTATGTATTCAGGTAGTTAAACTTTGATTCGTCCTCACCAATAATATACTATTAATGTAACCATGCATGCACTCATAATCTTATTTAAAACCAAATTGCTATCACATAATGCTCCTATCGACTTGTGAAGGCGAATTTTATCCAGGCGAGTTTCGTACAGCCAACATCTGTCCCCTCCAGCCTCCAGGAAAGTGTGAAATTCAAGTTTCCACAAAGGTTGTTCATTCTCGGAGGTTTTGAACGGAATCACTGGCATGGGATTGTTGGTCATCTCACTACTTTCCTCAACACATTGAAGGAAAATTATGTATGTGCATTATACATGGCTCAATGTTTCTTCCATAAATGTTACATTTAATAATTATAAGTCATAACTTTCGTGGATATATATTAAAAAAAAAAAAAACAAAAAAAACAAATATTTCATTAATTGATAAACACATGGATGTGATGAGTCCAATAGTTATACATATACACATCTGGTGAACTAATATTACATTAATGCTAAGTGGATTGCATTTTTCTTGAATATTATCTGATATAGTTGCATTTCAGGTGCCTCCCACAATTGTTAAGAAGATATTTGCTCAAACTTACTCATATATTAATGTGCAGCTATTTAATAGGTGTTTTGTTGCTCAACTTTGTTTTGGGTGTGATTTTCATGGTTTAATTTCCATCATAAACATTCCCTTTCAATTATCTTCTTAATTTTTGCAGTCTTCTTCTATACCGGGATTGTTGTACTTCCAACAACGGGAAATATGTGAAAGCCGGTTTAGTTGAGTTGGAACTATGGTGTCTTCAGGCGAAAGAAAAGGTAATTATTTAATAGGTCTTATGTATGATTATGCTTGCATGCCAAATCTTTTCATAGAAACGAATGTAATTTTCTTGAGGTTCCAAATAACATATGAAACCTATATATAAGAAATAAAAATGTTACCAAGCATAAGTAATTTCATCTTTATATCAGCAAAAGATAAGAAAAATGAAAATTAAACATAAATTCGTATCAAGTTCTTTCCACCAACCAGCCTCCCTCGTATACTTGTAACAAAGTGTGTGGGTTAACAAAGGATAGATTTCTAAGGGTTTAATTAGGGTTAAGAAGGTTGGAAGTGAGAGGCAAGAAAAAAATACCGATGTGCGCCTTGTAGAATATGGGTCAGGAGATGTGGAAGGTATGGATTCCTTCCACCCTTAAAGGAGCAAATACCAAATAATGGATGTAAGGTTAAATCATTTTTTTATTATTAATTTTTTATTTTTATTTTTATTTTTCATTTTGAAGGCCGTCACTACTAGAAAACTAGGGCAACAGCTAGAACACAATCCGTAGCTATTCAGTAGGTATAAGGCGATACCTACGGATTTGCTATGGAAAATGCCTTGTAGCATAAATGCCCGTGAGAAATTTATACCTACGGGATTGATACGGACTAGCTACAGAATAGCTACGGCTTTTTCCATAGGTATAATACCTACGAAATAGCTACGTAAAACAATAGTTACGGAATACCTACGGGTTACTCACAAGAGTCAAGTTTGACTATTAACCTACGTAATAACTACAGAAATACATAGCTACGAATTTCCTACGGATTACCGACGGAGCCCACTTTGACTATCATTGACTTTATTACCTACAGATTTCCTACGGCTTACATTATCTACGGATTTTCCGTAGGTAATTACTTTTTTTTAAATAATAAAAAATTATTTTAAAAAAAATCCAATTTTTTTATGTCCAAATTATTGAAAAAACTCATTACATTAAACTTATAACAACCACAAAACAAATAACATTATAATAAAACTAATAAACCTAAAAAAAGTATCAAATACAAGTACATATTACTAATGAACATTGTTTAATAATATATTAAATATGTCTAATAATACACATTAAAAGTGTCAACTATAAAAGCTTCACTAAGTGTTTACAAACATAAAATTAAGAATTATTTGGTGGATTACTTGACAAATTATCGGGTAAGTTAAATCAATAAAGGCTCACAAGTGTTCTTTAATTTGAGTTTTGATTTAATGGTCAACAATTGTTCCTGTTTCAATACACCATAATTAATGATCACAAAAAAAAAATTCAAATATAGCAATACTTTCATTTATTTGTTTATTATAGCAATAATCGGGAACATTTTTTAAAGTACATCACAATAAATAAGACAAAATGAAAATAGTATTTTATAATAAGCATGCATATCTTTCATTTAAGTAGCTCAAAAATAAAAACACATTTCCTTTCAGGACTACCAAACATACCTAATACCAAATTAGGATATTATGCCCTGCACACAAGAAAAAAAAACAAAACAAAAAAAAACTCTTAAACTTTTAGTTTCTTTCCAAGAACTTTGAAATCCTAAAGATATAGACAAAAGATTCTTTGAAGCAAACATTTACATTTTTTATTGCATTAAATAGTTTGCAAAGGGTGAAAGCCATCCTGAATAAGAAAATTTAAACTCTTAAGCCTTTGGAAATTACCTAATGTTCTCCTAAACAAAGTGACCAAATGTTGTTTATATCCTCTTAATAACTTTTAAATCCTAAACAAAAGTTGTTTCTATACATTCTCTAAATCCTAAAACATATTCTTAAGATTAAATTTTTAATATTACAACAAATAGATTCATTTTTTTCATGGCCAAATCTGTTTTTAAAAAGAACCATTGCTTAGGTTGTCAAACCCTTTCGAAATTAATCATCTTATGCCCATTTTGACAATCTAGTTTCAACAAAGTTTCTAAAGCACATGATATAAAATTGGTTTTTAGGGGAGTATAGCAAACGGTTAGGGATTCGGAGGATAATCAAAATTACAGTAACAAGGTTTTACCTTTCATATAAACCTAAACATAAAATAAATATTTAAACAATTCAATTTCAAAGATTCAAAGAAATTAGGCTTTTACCATTTCAAATCTACTTAGCAAGAAGAGGATGAAGGATTAGGGTTGGTGGTCCACCGAAGACGGTTGTGGCAACTGATTTGTCTTCGGAGCTGGAGATGTTGCCGAAGCAGCTGTTTGACGAGCAGCAAATCACCGAAGTAGCCTAACATTTAACTAAAATTTATGAAGTAATTTTATCAAATTTGGAGTAATTTTAACAAATTTTAAACCCCAAAATCAACCTAACATTTAACTAAAAAAAATATGAAGTAATTTTAATAAATTTTAAACCCCAAAATCAACCTAAAACTTTACATTCAACAAAAAAAAAAATCAACCTTACCAGCTAACATTCAACAAAATCAACCTAAAACAAAGTAATTTTTTAAAAAGAAACAAAAAAGAAAAAAAAAACTAGGGTTTACCTTTGTTGGTCGGCGAGGGGAAAATGCATCAAGGCGAAGGAGCGCTCGCCGGCCACCAGTGTGTCGGCGATGGAAGGAGCGTCGGCCATCAGGGGGAGATTTTGTCCGGCGACCACAAAGAGAGAGTAGAGGGAGAGCGCAGCGCAACAACGTTTTTTTTTTTTTTTTTTTTTGTCTTAACAGAGTTGCGAGAGGGGCAAGATGAATTAAGGTAGGAACGTGTTTTTCGTTTAAAAGGGCACCTAAGGCGTATCTACGGCCAACACACACACACACAAAAAAAACACCTTTCAGCAGGAATCAAACTCAGGTCAGACGCGCAATAACCAAGATTCTTACAAAACGGCCGGGTATGTCACATCCGTAATAGGTTTGACTACAATTAATTTTATTTTGTTTCTAGAAAATAAAGAAAAAAAATGGGTGGGGTAAGACTCGAACTCGCATCTCGGCCATAAATAACCAACGAAATAACCATCCGGTCGGGCATGCCACATCCATACTGAAGTAGTCTCCTATTAGTAGTCTCCTATTAGTTTTATGCACTTTCTTTTTTCGTTTATTATTATTATTATTATTATTATTATTATTATTATTATTATTTTTATTAATTTTTTTTCAATAGTCGAGTCTTATAACTTTTTTTTATGATCATTTTGTTTTTTATGATCGTTTTGTTTTTACATATATAATAAGTCGAATATTAATGGAAAATGATAATATTGGGAATAATAATAATAATAATAATAATAATAATAATAATAATTATTATTATTATTATTATTATTATTATTATTATAAAAATAAAAATGGAAATTATGATGATGATGATGGTGGTGATGATGATGATGAAGAAGATCATGATGATGATGGTGATAGTGATGATGATGATGATGATGGTAGTGGTGGTGGTGGTGGTGATGATGATGATGATGATGATGATGATGGTAGTGGTGATCGTGATGGTGGTGATGGTGATGATGGTGGTGATGGTGGTGGTGGTAGTGGTGGTGATGGTGGTGATGGTGATGGTGATGATGGTGATGATGATGGTGATGTATGTAAACGTATTCATAAACATTATAGTGTTAAACCATTAAACGAGCAATGGATCTCGTATGTGCACACGGATTTATAAATGATATTAATAGCTATAAATTGGTGAAAATATAGATAATCATGTATAATAGAGGTCTGAAAAAGATGGAGCGAAAAAAACGACGTTCGGTGCCCGGAAAATCGAAAATAAGAAAAATTTGTAACTAATCCGTATGTGCACACGACTTTATATGTCAATCCTAGCCTACCCTGGCCACCAACTCCAGATCCTGATTCTCTCGTCTCCACCATTATCTAAACAAAACAAGACGTATGAAAAGGCCACAATACATTTTCCAACTTTATGGTCTTAAATGGCTATTAAGTGCTTAATACCAAAACCCTAACTTCTTAACTCATTAAGGCATCCTAACTCATGCATGGAAGGAAACTAATGACCAAGATTACATTTTTATGGCTCTAGACACTCCAAACGTCGGAAGTTAAACAACATCTAATTAATACTTCATCCATTTATGAATTAGAGTGACCCATACTTGTAACACGAAGCTTATGGGAAAGAACACAAATCCATAGCTAAACAACATCTAATTAATACTTCATCCATTTATGAACTTTGCTTTACCTCCAAATGGTGTCAAATGATGATGTGATTCTAGATCCAAAGTGCTCTACTCTTCTAAGATGGTCTCATCTTCTTTCTTCCTCCTTCAATATCATCAAAACACACACTAATGGCTCAAAGATGCTCTCAAATGGATTAGATTTGCAAAGGGGTCTAAATGGGGATGGAGGCTGATAAAAGAAAGAAGTATTTGGAGTTAAGGATGTTTAAATAGGTTCCAAACCCTAAAAATTATGGTTTGAGATTTTGCCATGCTGGCCCAACGTACTCACACAGACCCCAAAATTACAAAAATACAACTATGGACCAATTTGCAAACAATTCTCTTACCAAGGGTTTAAAAGGTAAATACCTGAAAATCGAGATATTACACAAAAAGTCTAAATGGATAAAGTTTCGAACTTTATCCATTAAGACTTTCCATAAAAAAATATCTAAACTTTAAGTCTCAAAAAGTCCAAGAATGCATTTCTTTCAACTTAATATATTAAGTCCAAGCCTCCAACTTTCAGATCTTATGAAGCATGATGTAAAGATGAATAAAGTTTCCAACTTTGTCCATAATAATGCCACAAACTTATAAGATCTCTAGACTTTAATGCATCAAAATGACCAAGATAACATACATGGTTAAAAGAACATGCACAAGATGCCAACTTTCCAAGCCCAAATGGTCCACTCAACAATCCTAAGTGCTCAAAAGGAGCTGTAGTTATCTCATATCCAAACTCAATGCCAAAATAGGACCAAAAGTGCATACGAGGGACCATTAGCACAATCAAACAAATATAAA